GAGGTTTTGGGCAGCGTGATGTGTAATGCCTGGAGTGTAGGCCAAGGATCTGGGAGAGCCGGGTTCAAATCCCACATTCTGCTGTGGCTGCTCACTGGGTGACCTCTTGCTCTAACCCTCACCCACCTCACCAGATTGTTTTGGGGGTGATAAAATGAAGGCAGGGAGGACGTCGTCGTAACCCACTTTGGGTGTTTGAATAGGTACAGGGAGTGGGTTTAAAGTGGGTGAGAGAGAACCAGAACCCTGTTCAGAACCAGAAGCTGCCTTATGCTGACTCGTGGCCCTCTCAGTCCATCAAGGTCAGCATTGTCTACGCAGGCTGCTAGCTGCTCTCCAGCATCTTTCCCATCACCTCCTGCCTGGTCCTTTTAACTGGCGATGCCAGGAATTGAACCTGGGACCTTCTGCAGGCCAAGCAGAGGCTCTGCCACTGAGCCGCGGCCCCTCCTTACAGCTCTCCAGGGTTTCAGGGGGAGGTCTTTCACATCACCTACTGCCTGGCTCTTTTAACTGGAGATGCTGGGGATTGAACCTGGGACCTTCTGCATGCCACTGAGCCGCGGCCCCTCCTTACAGCTCTCCAGGGTTTCAGGGGGAGGTCTTTCACATCACCTACTGCCTGGCTCTTTTAACTGGAGATGCTGGGGATTGAACCTGGGACCTTCTGCATGCCAAGCAGAGGCTCTACCACTGAGCCACAGCCCCTCTTTACAGCTCTCCAGGGTCTCAGGTGTAGGTCTTTCGCATCACCTCCAGCCTGGTCCTTTTAACTGGAGATGCTGGGGATTGAACCTGGGGCCTTCTGCCTGCTAAGCAGAGGCTCTTCCACTGAGCCACAGCCCCTCTTTACAGCTCTCCAGGGTCTCAGGTGTAGGTCTTTCGCATCACCTCCAGCCTGGTCCTTTTAACTGGAGATGCTGGGGATTGAACCTGGGGCCTTCTGCCTGCTAAGCAGAGGCTCTTCCACTGAGCCACAGCCCCTCTTTACAGCTCTCCAGGGTCTCAGGCAGAGGTCTTTCACATCACTTCCTGCCTGGTCCTTTTTCCTGGAGATGCCAGGAATTGAACCTGGAACCTTCTGCATGCCAAGCAGATGCTCAGCCACTAAGCCACGACCCCTCCTAAAAGTGAGGTACACATGAGCACATGAAACTGCCTTATACTGAGGCAGACCCTTGGTCTACCCAGACTGGCAGCCGCTCTCCAGGGTTTCAGGCAGAGGCCTTTCGCACTGCCTACCACTCAGTCCTTTTACCTGGAGATATCAGGGACTGACCCTGACCTGGATGGCCCAGGCGAGCCCGATCTCATCAGATCTTGGAAGCTAAGCAGGCTAGGTCCTGGTTAGTACTTGATGGGAGATCACCAAGGAAGTCCAGGGCTGCAGTTCTGGAAAGAGCCCTCTCAGCCCCACCTACCTCACAGGCAGTGTTCCCTCTAAGCCGAGTTAGTGTGAGCTAGCTCACAGTTTTTTAGCCTCTAGCTCACACCTTTTTGTCTTGGCTCAGGAAGGGGGGCTCCAGAGCAAACTAATGTATGCTGTAGCCAAATCGCTCACTCACAACTTTAATGCCAGGAGCTCACAAAGCAGAATTTTTGCTCACAAGACTCCACAGCTTAGAGGGAACATTGGTGGTGGGCCCCCCGAGAAAAACATGGGCCCCCTGAGCAAAAAGTTGTTAGCTACGGGCCTGGTCAAGTCTCTTCTGACCTATGGCAACCCTATGAATTAAATGTTCTCCAAAACATCCTATCATTAATAGCCATGCTCAGGTCTTGCAGAGTGAGGGCCATGGCTTCCTTGACTGAGTCAATCCATCTCGTGTTGGGCCTTCCTCTTTTCCTAGCATTATGTCTTTTCCTGTGACTCTTTTCTTCTTATCATGTGACCAAAGTACAATAGAATTAGTTCAGTTATTTTAGGTTCTAGGGAGAGTTCAGGCTTGATTTCATCTAGAACCCACTAATTTGTCTTTTTCACAGTTCATGGTCCTGGAATCCCTTGAAATACCCACCAGATAGGTACATTTGTTCGTATGCAATCTGCTTAGAAGTTAAAATATGTTAGTGTGTTTTTACTCTTCCTCTTGGTTTTTTGTCAGCTACTGTGTGCCCTGACCTGGATAGCCCAGGCTAGCTTCATCTTGTCAGTTCTCAGAAGCTAAGCAGGATTTGCCCTAGCTAGTATTTAGATGGAAGGCCTCCAGTGAATACCAGGATTGTAATGCGGAGGTAGGCAATGGGAAACTATCTCTGAACATCTATTGTTTGGAAAAACTGTGTGGGGTCGCTATAAGTCAGTTGTGACTTGATGGCACTTTCCACCACCATGGTTTTAAATTGTTCTGCTGCTGTTTTAGAACTGCTTTCAGATGTTGCAAATTTGGATTATTTATGTTACTGTTATATGTTACCATTTGGTTACTGCAAGCTGATGTGCAAACCTGTTTGGTTGAGAGATGATGCAAAGATGCTCTAAATAAACAAAAATTATACAAAATCCTTAAAGGCCAACCCAAAACTATCATTCTCTAAAACCTGCATGAACAATAAAAGCTTTGACTTGGAGCTGAAGAACAGATTTGGTACTAGACAGAGGGTTAAGGGAAGGAAATTCCACAGGCACCACAAATCCTCTCCCTTGCATTTGGCAGTTGCCTGCTTCACTACTGAAGGCAGGAGGCCATGAAGTTGGGCCTGAGATGTCGAGAGTCAGGCAAGTAGTCCTTCAAATGCCCTGATTCCAAAACTAAGAACCAGCCCTCTGAACTGACCTCAAAAACAAGCATACAACCAGTGAAGCTTAAGCACCAATGAAGGATGATGCCTATAACGGATGCCTTGCCTTGCCCCTGCTTTCTTAGCTAGCAGAAATTTCCAAACTATCTGGAAAGACAGTCCAACACAGAGTGCATCACAGTAATCTAGTCTGCAAGTGACCACAGCATGGTCATTTGTGGCCAGAACCTGCTTCTCACAGAAGGCTCACAGCTAACGAAGAAGCCAAAGCTGGAAAAGGTGCAATGTGCTACAAATGTGATCTGGAAATCCACTGGCAATGCCACCAAGCTGCAAACCTGCTCCTTAAGAGATGGGGTGTGAGTGGGTGTGTGGGTGAAACACAATCTAGAGTAGGCTGAATACCAACCTTTCAATCAACTCTGTCACTGTCCAATAGTGTGGACTATCATTGTGTGGACTACCGTAGTGCTGATTCTTTTTACATTGGAGCTCAGGCCCAGGGCCGGCTCACCCGCTAGGCGAGCTAGGCACTCGCCTAGAGCGCGGGCTGGCCCTTAGGGCATGGAAGGAGAGGCAGGGGCAGCCTCCGGCGCCCCTGGCCAGCATGCCCCCTGGCCAGCATGGCGGAGGGAGGCAGCGGCACAGCCCGCAGGAGCCTGGCGCTCTCCCGGCACTAGGAGCCGAAGGAGCGCCCTCCATGGAGCCAGGCGCCGCCACGGCACCAGCACCACCACCACCACCAGCAGCAGCAGGAGCCGCCCCCACCACCTCGGTGTGAGCAGCGTTCCTTTTCCCTAGCTTTCCTTTTCCCGGGCATGCAGGCGCCCGGGGAGGAGGGAGTCGCTCGGCAGAAGACGTGCCACCGGCCCTCACGGAGGGACGGGAGGGGGGGACGGCAAGGCGCCTTCTTCCTCGGCCACCGCTGGGAAAAGGAAGAGGGGAGCCGGGAAAAGGAAGTGCAGCGAAAGTGAAACTGGCTGAGAAGGCGGCAGGTGGGCGAGAAAGAGAGCGAGCGAGCCCGGGCGCCGCGTTGGGGAGCAGCCGGGCAGTTGAAGGTAAAAGGGGGGGGCGCAAAAAAAGGCAAGCTGGCAAGCCCAGCCCCACCCGGAGTCCCGCATCGCCCGGGGCTGGTTGAGGGGCGGGCAGAGGTGCCGCGCTTCAGTGGGGCTAGGTGAGCCTCTGCGCATGGCTGCTGCCTCGCCTGAGCTGGGCTTTTGTTAGCGGACGGGCACTGCGGGGTTTTCGCAGAGGAGGAAAGCGTGCCTGGGAGCACAGCCAGGCGGCCCCCTGCCCCACATGCACACTTTGCAAAAGTTGGCAGGGAGGAAGCCCTTCGGAGGGCCCGGCAGAGCTGGAAGATGCACACTTGCGCCTCGGAAGGGTAGGGTGCCCCCCGCTCCCCCCCATCTGCTTCTTCCTTGCGTAGTCTATCCATTCCTCCTTGGGTGCGGGAGAGAGCAAGAGCTCTGCCCCGAGGCACCACATGCTAGCTGGGAGGTCTCCAGGCCCCACCGGGAGGTTGGCATCTGCGCTCGCCTAGGGTGCAGGAACACCTCAGGCCGGCCCTGCTCAGGCCTGGAGCTACAGTGGGGCATCTTGGGGCCAGGCCTCCTGACTTCCCATCCAGTTGGTTCATTTTATTGTTTGTGTGCGCCACAGCTGCACCGAGCTGGGGTCATCACCCTGACTTGCCTGCTGGCAGTGTACCTCTGGCTGGCTGTGGGCAAGGCATGCCACAGGGGACATCTGATCCCTACTCCAGCCCTCTCTCATCACTTTTTTTTTTAACTTTGATTCTCTTGTTGCTCCTGACAAACTGCCCCCTGACTTATTTAAATGCCCCCCAAAGTAAAAAATCCTGTGGGTATTCTATTCTATTTGGATTTTGAATATTGCAGATTGGGCCTAACATAGGTAAAATATTGCACTATTCAGGTATTTTACATTAGCTTATATCTTCTTTCTAAAATTCTGTAGTTTTTGAGTTTATAGTTGTTGAGTCATTTGTTTATGTTTTTTAGATCCATGGGCATATGGACTATAACACACTTGGATGAGTAGCCCGTGTTGCATTTTAAGAATATTTATTCCCATTTACTCCATGGGTGAACAGCTCTGTGTGAATAAGGTTGGATTTCATTTATTACAAAATATTAATAATTTCTTTACATAAAATATTATTGGTTGACTGATAGTTACAGAAGTAATTTTATTTTCTCTCTTTTCTCCTTACCACTTTTGGTCTATACTGAATTTGATAATTGTTGTTTTTTAGGTCCATTCTGTATATGATGAGTTTGAAATATACTGGTATTTAACCTATGGAGTTTTCAGCTTGTATTTTACCACCGAGGAAGGCGTTTTAGCCAAGACACATTTGGTTCTTGTATTTTGATATATTTTGTACCTTTTAACCTGTATTTATCTTTTCCTGACATTTGTCCTTTTTTTTTTTTTTTAAACTTTTTTTAAAAATTTATTATTGAAGCTTATATACATTATCTTACATTAAATCATTATACAATCATTTTACCCCACTCCCTCCCCCCTCCCTCCTTGTAGTATTTTCATATTTTTAACCATGTGCACAGATTCTTCATTCGTATTTGGATATTTGGATTGGCTTCTCCCCTTTCCACCCATTCCTTATATTTGACATTTGTCCTGATATCAGTTATAGATACTTATATACAGAACCATAGGTATGTAGTTTATATTGTGATTTTAATATTTCCTATGCATAATTAAAATAGATTGTATATTTTCACATTCGTACTGCCTGTTTAGCCATATTTGATTATTGTTTTTGTCTCAACATTTTTGGTTACCTTTTCTGTATAGGGTTGGTCCTCCCCCCCCCCTTTTCGGTCCTACCTACTATCCTTCAGCATCATAATTTTTTTAGGATTGAACTTCCCTTTATTGGTCCCCACCCAGTCCATTATTGCCTCCAAGTTCTACTTTATCAGAGTTGGCATAGGTCTTATAGACTACTTAGTCCAAGTTTCTGTTCATTTCAGAAGACACAGAGCTAAAGCATCACTGACAAATGGCTGCCTAGTCTCTGCCTGAAACTTCCAGCAGAGGAGAGTCTGCCCCTTCTTCCCTAGGGAATTGGTTCCATTTCCAAAATGCTCTTAACATTTGGCAGCAATGCTCAACCTATGTGTACCTTCCAGTAATTTAAGCCCATTTGATCTAGTCTTGTGCTATGCAGCAGCAGCTTCCATGTGAGAGCTCTTTGGGTACTGACTGGAAGATGATAAACATTGTTCAGGTCATTCAATCTTTTCATATAGCACTTACTTTTCAGGCCCCTACCCTGTTTGTTGCCCTTCTCTGAACCTATTTGCAAATGTAGATTGAAGCTCTTATACAAAGAACAGATGCAAAGTCTCATTTGTCCTTGTAGGATTTTAATTCCACGTAAGTGATCTTAAGATCAGAGGATTTTCTAAGTACAGTTCCTGCCTGGTTCACAAAAAAGAAAAGATGTGGACTACAGTCAGTGGACTTCAAGGCAATCTTGAATATTCTTAGTAGGAAGCAAATTTCATTGCAAGCCATTAGCTTTCATCCCAAACAAATCTAGTTGGTATGACTATGACCTAAAAACTAAATACTTCAGCTTAATTGGGCTGTTGATAGACTAGACAGGGTTAAAATCTGAACACTTTGGTGCCTCTGGGTAGTAGATTAGAATGTCAATCACATTAAGTCAAATGTCTCTCTTGTAGTCTCCACTTGGCAACTTTACTCAGAAGTACCAAGGAACTGAGTGAGCCAAAATATGGAGTCATAGGACTATATCCAGAACAACTCAGAAATCAGTTTTTTGGGGGGGGAACTTGGATTGCAGCTTTCCAACAAAAATTCTAATTTTAAACCAACTTTAAATCTAAACCCTTTGGTTTAACTAGCTTGCCAGTTCAGCTGCTCTGACACTGGAAACTGCTAGATGGTTTAATACTTACGTGTCTACAGGAAGAGCCACAGCAATGTCCCCTCTCCAAATGGGCAACTTTGGTCAATACTAGGTAGCTAGTAACTGGATCCACGTAATTTTTCTGTCCAGCCTTTAAAAACAAGAGAGGGGGAGTTAGAGTTCTCTCACTGAGCCTGATAAACCATTGACTTTTGTCATCTCAGAGTCCAAAGGGGCAATGATGTTAATTTGCTGCAGCAAAAACAACAACAAAAAAGGAGTTTTATGGCACCTTAAAGATGAACAGATTTATTGTGACACATGTTGTCATGATCTGCGTAGGCCTCTGGAGATCTGTGCTGGACTGTGAGCAGGGCCTGGTGCAGCCTGGTCCCAGGAGAGACCTGCATGGCTGTGAAAGCAGATGGCCTACAGTGCCCATAAGACTTAGCAATGGGCAGGGGTCGTTTCGTAGAAAAAGAGCTAGGGGAACTCATTAGCATAACTCATTAGCATATGCCGCACCCCCTGACATCACCGGAAGTGTGTCATAAGGCCACACCCACTGACATCACCGGATGTGTGTCATAAGGCCACACACCCCACCCCCAACGGTCCCGGCCGGCGCCGCCGGCCTTGCAGCTCCACTGCCGAGCCCCATGTGGGGCCCAGCAGTGGACCTGCAAGGCCGGCGGGAGTGCAAGGAAGCCCCGTGAAGGCCCTCCCTGGCCCCAGGCAGGCAGGGGTGGGGAGAGGCAGGGAGGAAGCAACTTACCCCTCCCTCTTCTCCTGCCTCCTCCTGGCTGAATGAGGGCTGGAAGCGGGGTGGCCAAAAGCAAGGGGCGGGACTTCGTCATGTGCCCCCCCGTACCTCACCCGGGGGAACTGCGATCCCCCACGATTCCCCCCGAAATGACCTCTGGCAACGGGCTATATAGGCGATCAGAGTACAGAGATTCTGTGAAGGATCTGTTACATACTGTGAGGAGATTCGGTTTTAGCTGTTAACTGTGGAAAACGAGGTCTTTCATCTCTCTCTGCGGCCTGGTCACTGTGGGGACAGGCTGGTCTGGTGAGAGGAAAAGATCCCCCACTTGGCTCAGCGTGTTAGGTAGGCTGTGGGCCTGGAAGTAGTAACCAGTTAGGAATAGTAATAGGTAGCTGTGTTAGATTGTTTATTTTGCCTTTTAACCACTGTTATATCTTTTTAAAGCACCTTGTCTTGTCTTGTTTTTCCCCTGCCCAGTACTGTAAAAAACTCTTTCTGTTTCACTACTTCTCTGCCTTGGTCATCACGCTCATGTTTTCTCGGCTGTAAAAGGGACATTTTGGATGGGCTTGAGAGGGTACCCTGGGCATTCTCAAAGGACCAAAGTCCAGGGTGGTGGCGGCAGAAGGTGGCAACCCGCTGGGGTCATGACACATGTTTTCAAGACCTACTTCATCAGATGTCTCTTATCCATAGGCCTTGTACCTTAGCCATGTTGGCTGTATTCTAGGCCATGTACTCTGGTCATATTGATCAGTGGTGAGGTCAGATAGGTTCAGCCAGGATGCCACATGCATTGCATCCTAGAAAAAACCCCTAATCCTTTGCTTAGGCTCCATGGCAGTCATCAATGTCTGACTTTGCCAGACTGATTAAAAAAAATTTTTTTTTTGCATACACACAATGTTGTTAAGATTCTTGTGTTCTGGTGACAGCTGCTGCCAAAGCAACTTAAAAACAACAACTGCACAGCCAATCAGTTCTCCAATGGCCAATCAGAAACCCTGCTGCCAAAAAACCCACCCAGCTCCTCCCAATTCCAAAAACACTTGGCTGATGCCAGTAAAGGTATCAGTGGGTGCTATGACACCCATAGGTACCATGTTGGGGACACCTGCATTACTCTGTCGTCATACCACAAGTAGAGAGGTCTGGGTCATAGTATTTGCTGCCTTTGGATGGAGTGATATAAAAAGTTGCTGCAGTCAGGAAAATTGGTGAGATAGTATAGCTCTCTACTTCTGAGAGTTATCTTGAAGACCCTGCATGGTGGTGAGGACTTTGTTTCCCTATGAGTGGTTTCCTAAATAGCCTGGCACCCTTGGAATTCTGGTGCCCCATGCACTATTTACTGAGCACAGGAGCTAGTTAGGGAAACAGCAAATGCTGAGGACTTCCGGTTTATGGCGACACGCTGGTGGACACACCTCCTGGACCTCCCAGGGGTGCGATCTGCGCACTAGCGGTTAGGAGGGGAGGCGATTGTTCGCCACCCCCCAGAGCCTTTGCAAAAGGCTCCTAGCCATGGGGCTTTTGGAGGGTGGCCTCTTTACCAGCGCATTGCTGGGGAATTGAGGCGCTCTCCCACCCTGACGGTACTGCTGCTATGTGTCCGAATGGAACTAGAGCCGCTGACCGGGACAAGCGTTGAAGATCAAGCTTTTTAAATGGACTTTAAGGAAGGTCTTATGACCAGCAATGAACAGCAAGTCGAGTAAAAGCAAAATGCCGGTAATTTAAGAAGAAAGCCCTCCCTTGGGAACGGCAAGAAAAGTGAACAGGGGAGGGGCCCCTCCCACACGCATAAAGAACATAAGAACATAAGAGATGCCAATGTTGGATCAGGCCAAAGGCCCATCCAGTCCAACACTCTGTATCACACAGTGGCCAGAAATACCAGTGCCATCAGGAGGTCCACCAGTGGGGCCAGGACATTAGAAGCCATCCCACTGTTGACTCCCCCCAAGCACCAAGATGACAGAGCATCACTTGCCCCAGAGTCCCTATCTATACCTTGTGGCTAATAGCCACTGATGGACCTCTGCTCCATATGCTTATCTAATTCCCTTTTGAAGCCGTCCATGCTTGTAGCCGCCACCACTTCCTGTGGCAGTGAATTCCAAGTGTTAATCACTCTTTGGGTGAAGAAGTACTTCCTTTTATCTGTTCTAAATCGACCGCTCAGCAATTTCATGGAGTGCCCACGAGTTCTTGTATTGTGAGAAAGGGAGAAAAGTACCTCTTTCTCTACCTGCTCTTTCCCATGCATAATCTTATAAACCTCAGTCATGTCACCCCTTAGTCGTCGTTTCTCCAAGCTAAAGAGCCCTAAGCGCCTTAACCTTTCCTCATAGGGAAAGTGTTCCAACCCTTTTATCATTCGAGTTGCCCTTTTCTGCACTTTTTCCAAAGCTATAATATCCTTTTTAAGGTGTGGTGACCAGAATGCACACAGTATTCTAGATTTATAAACCGGATTTAGTGTTACAGTACTCCTTTATAAGGTCGTGCTAGTGTCCACCAATTCCCCCCCTCAGGTCTTTGGAGCACTCTAAGCTGAGTTAGTGTGAGCTAGCTCACAGTTTCTTAGCCTCTGGCTCACACATTTTTGTCTTAGCTCAGGATGGATGGCTCTAGAGCAAACTAATTTATGCAGTAGCCAAATCACTCTGTGCTGTCTTGGCTGGTTGCCACAGATACTACACACTCTAAGCTGGAAAACACAGTCTCAATCAAGGTAAACAACGGAGCCAAAGGTCGGATAGCCAGGGAAGTCAATTCAAGGTTGCAGGTTTCAAGGACAGGGAGCGGCTGCTACACACACAGAAGCAGATCTCATATGCAGAGTTGCTGCCACACTGGAGCAGGTGCAAGGACTGTTTCAGTTTCAGTTTATTTCTATTACAGTCCTTAGACCAGATATGCTTACAGATATGTATGTAAATTATAGATGTATATAGATGTATATGTATATAAATTATAGATACAGCATTCCAAAACATTTAAAAACTAATATACAATTTTTAATATAAAATAAAATGCTTCCTAGTAAAATGCATCCGAGTCTAGCATAAAAGTTACACTTACAACTAACTGCTAAACAATTTCTGTGACCTAAGTATCACCTTACAAAACCTGGCTACTTGATGAGTAATCTTGGGATGTTTGTCAATTAAAAGAAATTCAAGTTTAGTTTTTTCTGGCAGACCTGAGTTTTTTCCTATCAGTGGAGTGATAATCTCTCTACGTGCCACCTCATAGTGTGGGCATTTAAAGAACATATGTTCTGGCTTCCAGTTTATGGCGACACGCTGGCGGACGCACCTCCCGGACCTCCCGGGGGTGTGATCTGCGTGCTAGCGGTTAGGAGGGGGGGCTATTGTTCGCCACCACCCCCCGGAGCCTTTGCGAAAGGCTTCTAGCCATGGGGCTTTTGGAGGGTGGCCTCTTCACCAGCGCGTTGCTGGGGAATTGAGGTGCTCTCCTGCTCTGACGGTCCTGCTGCTATGTGTCTGAATGGAACTAGAGCCACTGACCGAGACAAGAGTTGGAGATCGAGCGTTTTAAACAAACTCTAAGCGAGGTCTTATGACCAACAATGAACAGTGAGTCGAGTAAAAGCGAAATGCCAGTAATTTAAGAAGAAAGCCCTCTTCTGGGAACAGTGAGAAAAGTGAGCGGGGGCGGGGCCCCTCCCACCGCATAAACTAAAAAGCGAGCTAACAAGGGGGGGGAGCGGAAGTTAAAGCACTGAAATCTGTTTTAAGAAACTTACCAGAGCGCGGATAAGCATATGGGCGAATTTCAGAGACTTTAGCAAGTTTATACAAAAGTAAACAATCCATAAAAATGGCGTGAAAAAAAATGGAGAAAAACAAGCAAAAGTGAAACCACCGGGGAGCATGAGCCCACAACCAGAAGAGACCACTGAGTTCTCTAAGCTTCTGGCAGACTCTTTGCGCCCTCTACTGGATCAGATGACTAACATCAATCAACAGCTGACAACTTTAAATCAGAACTTTGCAGCTCAGCAGCTCCAACTGTGTGAAACTACAAAAAAGATGGAGCAAACAGCTGAGAAAGTAATGGAAATGGATACCAACTCTAAAAAAGTTAAGAAAAAGGTGCAAATGCTGGAAAACAAGCAAGCTTCGGATGAAATTTAACTTTTACAATTGCAAATGGAGAAAGCTAACCTGGTCCTCCAGTTCCAAGGAGTCCCTGAATCTAAAGATGAGAATCTAAAACAACTTTGAGCGATGCATTAGTTCCAGTTACAGATTTAAAAGCGGAATATCTTATAAGTGAAATGGACGAGGTCTACAGGGCCTATTCTGTTTATATATAAAAAAATAATCTGCCTGGAGAGATAGTGGTGAGAT